TTTATTATATTATATACATATATAACTTATTCGAAAATTAAATACCTGAGAACAAGATAAAATGTTTTTCTTCACAAGCCTTATCATTTTCCTGTATTTTTATAGTAACTGTTTTGTAAACTAATTGTATTAATTTTTCGTTACCCACGAACCTTTCTCAGAACAATCGCAATACACAGTGGTTATCGGTAAAGAAGATTTGGAGTAACATGAAATATTATCACAATACATCTCTTTCACGCAGAATGTTCGAGGAATTGATATGAGTAAAAAAAAAAATGCAATCCTAGAAGAAGTGTTATTTACATTTTCCGGGAGCATCGTTACACTTATGAAGAAAGTGAAGTGGTAGGAAAATAAACATTACCATACTATTCAACTTTTCTTTTAACAGTTTTCTTTCTACCTCTTATCAAATTCGAAATATAACCCCTTCCAATTGCGTGACGCATTTTTTCATCCACGTAACGAGGGCTTGCAAGCCCCTTTACCATATTCGTATCACTCCCAACGTTACCGATTCAGCATAGAACGAGATTAGAACATCAATAGTAGTTGAGATTAGAACTACACGTAACTATTAAATTACAAATAAAGTATACGACAAAATATCTCCTAATCGCACACCAAGTATAGAATTCTATACTTCTCCTGTATAATATCACAGACGAGCTACAGGATAGAGTAACACTTAATGTATTTTTCCCTCCAACGTTCTGAAATACCGATCGTGTAAAAAATCAGAGGTTAGGTTATGCCCTCTACGATATAAAGCAGTGAGTTTAGGAATAATATACAATCCAACCATCAAAGATGATAAAATCGACACATGTAAAAACATCCTCCTTTATTAAATTTGCATATAAAGATACATACGTGTATTAAATTACGTGGATAGAACTATTGACGACCTGTTCACCTATTACTACATTTATTATAATTCACCTTAAGTACTATGTGAATCTAATGTTAAGATTCGATACTTATTCGACTAAACTACGATCTTTTAATATGGCAGCCAATCTGCTCGAATTATTTGCTATACAATCGCAATTATATATCAAATAATATCGATTGCCCAGGCCTCACCACGTGGAGGTTGCTGCCAATGGAGGCCCGCCCTAACCACACGGTCCCATCCACCCTCCTTTTACGCGCCTACTATTTATTTTCTACTCGTTAATGCAACGCAACGCCTCCTACTGATTGTACATCTGCAATACTTTCGAATTTTCGATCGTTATGCAGACGGACAATAGCAGGAGACTGAAAGAATTTTAATTAAAAAAAAAAAGTCGACGAGAAGAAAAAGAAAAAAAATACAAAAAAAAAACGTTTTTAAAGTATCCTATTTTAAACTTAAAGTACTTTAAGTTTAGCTTAATTTATCTTACGCCTAGCTTATAGTATAAGTTCATTCACACTTCACTTAAACTAGGAGTTAACTTAAACCTGACAAACTAGGACTGATGAAAGCCTTAATTCTATACGAGATATTAATTTACACATACACCATTACTCTGTATTCTTATCACTACACAAGAATGTGTAAAGTAGGAATCTGACTCGTGAAATATTCGAAACACAAAAGAAGAAAATATGAACAAATACGTCCCACAGAGAAACACGTCAACTTAAGGGACTGATCTTGGGAAAAAATCAAGCGTTTCTGTTCAAAATTGTTTACAGGACTAACGAAAGGAAAAGAATTGCAATGCTTACAAGCTAAGAGCTACCGTCTTAAAAACCATGTAACTCGAACACTGATTTTCGTTAACAACTTGCCTAGTTAAATGCTAAAGTCTTAAATATTATCCTGCTTAACTAGAATTCTTACTTAACTTAAAAATCGCCTACCTGTCTAATGAGTTAACTTAAATTAAGATTCGCCTACCTGTCTAAA